CTTAACTAGTTGAGGCTCAGTGCTATGTTTGGAAATATACAAAGTAAAAGCGGGTTTTTATGAAACTTCCGAGTCCACATTGAAGTTTTTCACTTCGTATGAAAATGCATGATGAAGCGATTTGTAGGTTGATCTCACCAAAAGATGACGGCCGATTCCCGTGTTCTGCAGCCGCCTGGCTTTAATACGAAGTTTAGTCGAACGCATTCCATTGGCATCATCAGAGCTGGACTAATCCGTGCAAGAGACTCAGTATCGTTAGCATCAAGTCAAGAAGACTGTTCGACTCTGCCCTACCTGCTAAACAAACGCATGACTAAAAACTAAAAACTACAGATATGGAATGATTTGTTTATTTCTCTTTCATATTAATCAGGGCATAACACATTCTTTGGCCTGTATGGCATTAACACACACACACACACACACACACACATTCGAGTACAAGAGAAACAACCAAAGCATTCTATATCTAAATCTTTTTTTAGCTGTGAATATATATCTCATGTAGGAAAGAGCCGATCAATCTTTGTGACCTAGTGTTAACGTCAGACTTTTGCAATTATGAGTTCCAGTTCTGATGATATCCGTCATAGAATGCAAGAAGGCTCAACTCAGTTTCACCCGATACTGGCGAGAATGTCTTGTGGACTGCGTCGTCATATTAAACTGCAACTGAACAACATGCATCAGCCGTCGTCTCCCGGTGAGATCGACCTTCGAATGACTTCCTTCTGCACGTTCATGCGAACTGAGGCTCCACAACTGAGATGCATTCAGCCTATTTCGTTTTATGTGATGAAGGAGTGGTAGTTTAATTTTCCCACAATCATGTGAGTAGAGAATTTCACGTAGCCTTGCTTCCCCCAAAGTTGTTCTCATCCAGGCACCAGTTGACTGCAGTTTCGATCTCGCCTTCGAGTCTTATCAAAAAACCCAGCGGGACTCGAACCATGGCACTGAGGCGTGTAAGCTCGACACGTTAACCACTCGGCCACATTGCCACGAATGTCCCTAGGTCATAGAGCATATGTGAATTTCAAGGAACACCAGGCCTTTTTCATATCACATTCTTTGGTAGGATTATCGATGAAGCAAAGTTACCAATCGACTGCATTACGTATCTTTCGGTTATACGCAGTTTCGAGGCTAACGATAGATCACTTATATGAGATACATTCACTTTATTTCGTTTGTACACAATCATTTGACCACTTTTCAGTGGAAATCACTACATTCTATCTACTCTTCTCTGTTATATTTCCTCATGTTTTACCTGTAAAATTGTATTTTACTATAATTAAACTATATAATGTAATAATAAATCAGTTTATATAAGCGTTATCATTGTAAAAAAGCTCTATAATTGTACAAGCACATATAATTTTTTTTAGGAAATGCTGGCCCTGAATGATCCTTGTATTCGATTCGTCAACGATGGGGCTGCCATCCGAAACCCTTTCGCCGTGGACCGAAAAATTCAACTTGCCCACCTCACCGAACTTTTATGTGAGTCCCCTTTTCAGCGTATCCAAGCTGAAACACTTTCGATCATAGACCAAGTGTTGTCGACGTGAAGGTTGGCCGCACTGGCAACCGAAGGAGGACATCGATGTGTCTATTTTTCAACCTGTAGTGCATTTCTGTTGGTTTTTTAGACTCACAACTTGAAAACTTGGGCGGAATTGGCGTGGTCATCATTCTGCTCGAAGTTTCTTTTTGTGGAAATAGAAACATTGTCGAGTCACGTTGAAATAGATACATTTTAGCGAGTTGAATTTATGCAAAATTTAATCATATCTTGAGGCCTACTCATCTCAGTTTGAAAAAAACTCAAATAACACTACATCATTGTAGGTATGACGACCAAGATGTTGTGGCATCTTTTTTGGTTGAGGTGGTTTGACACTACTTTCGACCTAACTGGGCACACCTTGTACAAAGTCGTTTATCAGCGTCGAGTCGTGGATTTTACAAATTGCCAGACGTTTCATCGGGATTGTACCCAGCAACGTGAGGCTTGCCAGTTTTAGCAACAACCTACACCGCGTCAAAGAGACGAAATTCGCAAAATCATACAATATCTGTTAATCCTTACCTATTATTTTTGCTATTAGTTATGAATAGATATAGCATGCAGGATAGAGCCGAAAAGCTTTCTTAAATTGAAATTAACTTAAAGTTTTTAAGAACGATGTGCGACACTGACGATGTGGGTTTGTCAAGCAGCTTGGCGGAGAAAAGTTTTGTTCGTTTAAACCGTCCGTAGACTCATCGGTCATGCCACAGGCAATAGATTGTCAGATATAGAATTATTCTCGAGTTAAAATAGGTTGATAAGAATATCCTATATATTATAATCATAGCTGAAAAGGATATTTAAGTAGATAAATTGGGGTCGAGTAGAATAATATAGTTGGTTTACTTTCATATCAATCTGAGTAGCTCAAAGTAATTACAAATAAGCCTGGTTTATTGTGGTTTAATGGCCAAATGAGGCGCACTGGAATGACGAAATCTATTCTCGATTTGACCCGAAACTTTCGCTTGCATCGCAAATGAAAGTCTGTACAACAGCGTTCTCTTAAGAGACTCATCAAAGCTCAGCTTGTCCACACTTTTCTCTGATGGTGGACATCAGATGACGGAGGTAAACTTGGCCCGTTTCCACCGGAAACCAGCGTGGATGCCACGCAGACTGCGTCAACATGCAGGCAGCAGTTAGAGCGGGACGGCAACAGAACGACGTCACTCAGTCCTTGCCATCCGATGCATCATGCACTTGCATACAAAATGAAAGTGTTCACATCAGTCGTGACAATCATAGCAACAATGTGTACTTTTGCATTATTTCATGCATGAAGGAAGGCATGCTTTCGAGAATCTCTTAATCATGTAATGTGCCTCGACTTTGCATTTCGTAAAAGGTGGCTGAAGATATTCGTGAATTGGTATCAAGGGAAAGCTAAGGAGGATTGGGTTGGAGTGAATACTGTTAAATTGTGCGCAATTCTGCCGTCATCTCTAAGATGAGATCGACCAAGGAATCTTTTTTCTTATACTTTTATAAGAAATAATGATCTCAATAGATTGAAAGAAACGACCCACCAGACTGCCCTCATCTTGCTGTGAGATTGAACCTCACTTGAACCTCTGGTTGAAGTAGCCAACTGAATCATCGGATGTGATGTTGGGTGTATAAAAAAATGCTATTTGTACTAGTGTTGCAGCCGGACACTTTTTATCTTGGTTGAGTATATTTTTGCTCTATTTGGTGAAGTATGGATGTAGAAAGGCCGAAAGTTTAGCACTACGCGGTAATCTTCCTTCCATTTCCGATGAGACCCCATCACGAATTCCCTCCAGCCAACTTTCCCTACGAAATGGAGAGTCATGCGACAATACAAGATTAAAGTCTCCACAATAATAGGACGATGAAGGACTGGGTATGAATGGACTTCAGTTTCCGCCTCGACTTTTCGTCTTCACCAACACTCCATTTTTCCGGCTCAACGTCCCGACAAAATTCCCCTTCGTCTGCCTCCAACCCCCCCTCAAAAGCACCGGATCATGCGTCCGAGTCCCGTGAGTCATGTCAGCCACAGACGTCCGG